TTACAGGACATACTTATTTTATTAAATATAGCCTAGAAAATATATGCTCTTTTGTATATGTGGGTATTTACTTATGTTCATATATGTAATGAATACTTTTATGTACATCTGGACCGTTTTGTTTGTGTGAGTGTTGAATCAAACTTGGTTGTTATTAAGTTCTTTATTTCCATTTCATGTCTACTTAATCTCTTGGTTTCTCCATTAATTTGAAGTCTCATTTTATTCACATATTTCTAATCAGGTTTCCTTTTTGTATGCTGAAGATATTTGTTACATTCATACACACCTTAATAACATTTTTATTTTACATTTACACTATATAACCAGTTATACTAATACTCACTTTTACCTTTTACCTATACACTGACTTTTAGTTTGAACTCTTTTTCTAGTTTCAGTATAGTTACACTTCCTTCGTTAAATCATCACACCCCAGCTGTTTGCTGTCTTGGATTGTAGCTGCATGGTGCTTAGCATGCATGCCCATGTGGTGCTTGCATTCTTGAGTGCACCCTTGCATGAGCACACACTCATCACTTGCATTACAGACATATAAAATGTTAATTAAGTAGTTTGTATGTAAAGTATTTGTAAATATATGAAATACACAGTTTTGGAAAAGTTACTGCCTTTTAGTAGTGAAGGTAATTTGTTTATATTATGTGTGAACTTGAATGTTAGCTCAACAGACATTACAAATATTTATTTCCAAATAATTTTTTAAAGTGTCATACTGGGGATTAGACTAAGGCTTTAAGATGCTAGGCAAATGGTGTTCCATTGAGCTGTATTCCAAGCCTGCATTTAATGTTTTACAGATATTTGTTTTCCTCTTTTTTCATCCCGTATTGCTATTGCTTGATATTGTTACTTGGAAATTATGTTTTCTTCTGTCTTGTGTGTATTCTCTAAAATTTCCACTTGTCCTTGCTATCTTAAAATTTTCCTGTTCCTTGACATGGGCTGTTTGAGTCTGAAGCTGATCTCTCCTCACCCTCTCTTGCTTACTTTATCCAAGCCTGGCCTTGAACCTCAAAACTGTGATCTTCCTGATTCAGCTTCCGAGGTAGCTGGGATTACCAGCATATTCCAATTCCCTCATTCCACAATACCCATGGGTACTGAACAGAGGTCTTTGTTTCTGCTAGGCAATATTGTACCATCCAGCTGTATCTTCATTACCCATCTGTGTTCTTTGTTACTATGTTGTGGAAGAATCCTAGTGACTAATAGAGATTTTAGGGGGCTGTAAAGGTGACACAGTGGATAAATCACTTATGATGCAAGCCTTTGAACTAGAATTCAGATCGCTAGAATTAAGCTGGGAGGCACAGTACCCTCTGGTAATATCAGCACTCCAGGGGCAAAAGCAGGCTAGCTAGACTAACTGGAAATAGTAGTCTTTGTTCCGAGACTGTCTCATGAAATAAAGTGGAGAGTGGTCAAGGAAAATGTATAGATTCAACTGCCATCCCCATTCTCTGTCTGAACAGAAATATCACACACACAGGCCCCCGCCCCCACCCACCCACCCAAAGAAGGGGAATATGGAAACAGTGATAATTGATATTTGTTAGAGCACTTAGTCTAAAAAGTATTTTTATAGTTGACATATAGTAGTTACTTGATAATTCAACACATTATGGAATGTTTTGAATTTCTTGTTCATGATATAGCCTTAATATTGTTTTAGTTTACAAGTATGGGTGTTTGGCTGCATATATGTATCTGTGTTTTACTTTCATGACAGAAATGGGCATTGAATCTCCTGGGACAGGACTTACAGATAGATGTTTATGAGCTGTTGATGTGTGTGTTGGGAATTGAATTCTGGCCACCTGGAAGAACACCAGAGTTCTTAACTACTGAGTCATCTCTCCAGCCTTTCATGACACTGTTTTAGTCTCCGAAATTTTCTTTTTTGGTTCTGTTTTGGTTTGTGCTGTAGATTTATTTTGGATCTCATCATTTCATTAAAGTTTTGCAAGTACTTTTTATAATTTAAGACAGTTATACAATTTATACAACTGCTAAGAGAGGTTTTCACTGACTTTTAAAAACTGCTTTTATATTAATACTGAATTATTATACATTATCTCCTTTGTTTTTGTTAATGAGTATGCAAAATAGTAAAAGAGAAACTAGGGGGCTGGAGAGATAGCTAGCTGCTCTTCGAGAGGTCCTGAGTTCAATTCCCAGCAACCACATGGTGGCTCACAACCATCTGTAATGCGACCTGGTGCTCTCTTCTGACCTGGCAGAACATTGTATACACAATAAATAAATAAATATCAAAAAAAAAAAAGAAAAAGAGAAACTAAGAACGTTTCAAAATTTATATTTTCAAGAGGAAATCTCTAGCCTAGGCTAGCCTTGAAACTCTGTGTATTTTAACCCATGTAAGTCCTAAATTCATGGCTTCAGCCTCCTGAGTGCTGGGTTATGGATATGTGCTGTCATGCATGGGTATGGTTTATGAGTGCTGACAGTAGAGAAATTGCATGTGAAAATTCATTCTATGATAATTTTTGTAGTTTTACAGCTAATTTTGTATGCCACATTTTCATTTAATGTCAGATATTCTTTATTAACTATGTAATTCTAGCAGAAGGACTTAAAAGGTTCACTTTTGTGTAGTTCCTTGTTTCTTTTTTCTTGATGCCTTTATAATGTAAATTGGTGTACTAGGTAAATTCTAGTACTTTTCATATTAGAATATCCAATTTAAAATACATTTAGAAATACATCCAACATATCCAATTTAAAATACATATTAGAATAACCAATTTAAAATACATTTTGCCTTATGACTTACACTAGACTCTTATTTGTCAATTATTTTTATACAAAAGGTTTCTGCACAGCTTGTCATATGATATTGAAATAAGGGATCCTAGATTTTTATCAATTTTCCAGAAAATATGTTTGTTATATCAGTTATAATTTTTTTCTTCAAAATGATTGTACTTTCTTTGGTGAACAATATCTTGGTCTTTCTGTGGCACATTTAGATTGAGGGGCTTCTCATGGATAATCCTGTGTCTGTTAAGATACCTTCTTAACAAAGTTTTATTATACATTCCGAGAAACAGTTGGTTACTATACTTTATATCAATAAAGAGAAGGGAAACTTTATTTTTTGTTTTCTTTCACAAAATAATACTAAGTATAAAAATAGAAATGAAATTTGTATAGTGTGTTTTTGGACATTACATGAAATTAAAGTTTGGCAAGTATGATTAGTAAGGTTCAGTGGTTTCTGGAGTTGAATTCAAATTGTATAGGATTCAGTGCAAGAGTCCTGCTTTCTTACAGTACTTACTGTCGTGTATTGGTGATAGTGAGGAAATGTTTAATGGTATATGATATTAGACATGTAGAAAAATGCTGAAAACAGTATGTGGTACATACAATAATATTTTAAGAGTCCATTTTCCTCTGTTAAATGAGAGTTTAGGCTTTTTAGTGAGCCACGTTTAGCAACACTGTTTACTAAAATGGAGTCTGTTATATAAATATGAGCCTGTCTTCATTAGGCCTTTCAAAGCATTTCGTGTGTGTGTGTGTGTGTGTGTGTGTGTGTGTGTGTGTGTGTGTGTGTGTGTGTTTTTTTTTGTGTGTGTTTCTTTTTCTTCTTGGGACAAGGTTTGTCTATGTATAGCCCTGGCTGTCCTGAAACTCTGTAGACCAGGTTTGCCTTTAAGTCACAGAGACCCATCTGTGTCTGCCTTCCAAATGCTGGGATTAAAGCTATGTGCCAGCACGCCAGGCAGAATTACTAATTTTATATAGAGAGAATGCTGTTTGTTGCCTTCACTGTAAGATCTTGGATCGGTATGAAAAAAATAGTCATAAAGATGAATGTGCCAGGCAGACAGCTCTCTGCTTTTATAATCTATGGATCAGGAGCTGAAATATCCTCACAGTGGAAACAGAACAAGTAAAATGAAATAATTTGGGGTGACTTCTTATTCATTCACTTGTTGCCTTGTCTTTTTAGCACTTGTAAGAGATTGCAATGAAAAGTAAATAAATCCCAGGTAGAACTGGGTATTAAGTAGGTTTCCTTTCCTTCTGTTATTGTCATTGATGTCACTGCTACCTCTCTAACCCCACCAAGGTTTCTGAGACAATCTGATTATGTAGTCCCAGCTGTTTTCTTAGTTCCCCATATTCTTGACTCAATTCTCTGGGTGTTAGCTTATAGGTATGCACCACTATGCATGGCTATGAAATTTTTATTTGTGCTCTAATCATATAGGGGTCCATTTTGTGATTTACTAGTTTATTTCACACTCAGAGGGACAGACACTAGACACACAGACACACAGTCTGTCTGGAACATGCTATGTAGACTAGGCTCAAACTCACAGAGACTCACTTGCATTAAAGCTTGCCACCAAGTTTTGTTGTTGTTGTTGTTGTTGTTGTTGTTTTGTTTTGTTTTGATTCTAAAAAGTTAAGTGTCCTTTGGTGGTGGTTTTTAAAAACTGATATTATAGTAACCCTCTACTTATCTGGTTTTTCTCTTTTTATAAATATTTACTTATTATCTGTATCAATGTTTTGCTGAATTCATTTATGTAACTGGAGCTTCCACATGGATACTGAAAATTGTACCTTGTTTCATTCCAAGAGCAATAAGTACTCTTAACGACTTAGCCATTTCCCCCAACTTCTCTCTTTATGCATCCTGGCAAACCCTGTACCAACTGAGGTACAGCCATCGTTCTTAAAACTGCTTTACAAATTGTTCTACCAGCGTATCAATAACAATAGCCACTAAAATCACTTTAGCTTAATGTTTTTTGACAAGGTAAAGTGAAATATTAACTTGCTAATGAATTGTTAGAATATGAATGAGCTGGGTCTGAGACAATTGGCACTTTTAAAAACAGATTCCAATTATTATAATAGTAAGGTACAGATATTTCTTTTTTCCTAACTACCATCTTCAAAGTTTTATAAAGTGATTTCTCTCCTTTTTCTCTTTCCAGCGATGTGCATTTTGCAAACACCTTGGAGCCACTATCAAATGCTGTGAAGAGAAGTGTACCCAGATGTACCATTACCCATGTGCTGCAGGGGCAGGCACCTTTCAGGACTTCAGTCACTTCTTTCTTCTCTGTCCAGAACACATTGACCAAGCTCCTGAAAGATGTAAGTGTTCTATCCATGCAGTTGTAAATTCACTTAGATATTTACTTAAAATATTACATGTGAATTTGGAAAGTTCACATTTACTTTACTTGTATTAAAAGGTAGATTCTCAAGAATAACGAAATTAATATTTAAAAGATGATATATAATGATAATGGTCTGAGAAATCTTTGCTGTTGGGTGTTGTGTCCTGTGTCTCAACTGCATCTCATGCCATGCCCTTGTTCTTACTATGTAGGTTTGGCTGTCTCCTGGAACTCATAAGATATCCTCCTCCCTTTGCCTCCCGAATGCTGGAATTATAGGCATGTGCCACTAAACCCAAATTACTGTAGGTTTTTGAGGGGAAATCTATAATCAATAATTGTATTAATATTCCAAAAAAGTTTTTCTGAAATTCCAAGTTTTCATATTTTAAATTTTTATGCTCAAAAATTTTTTAAACAACTATAGAGGACATACTGACTGTACAGTATTTTTAACATGTTTTAAAGAGCAATTCATTGGCATGTTCAGTAGTGTTCAGTTCCTTTACAGAAGAATACTGCCGATGGGAGAATGTAAAGTTGACTCTCTCCATTGTTGGTCAGGCTAGGGAGCATCACACACTTCTTGACATTTTGTTTGTGAATTCTGGAGACTTGATAATGTGGACATCTCTGTAGTGCTATTCACAATCTGTCCCTCTTGGTTATCTCTAATCTGCAGTGGTGCTTTTTACTTTTTCCACTAGTTTTTTTTTTTTTTTTTTATAATTCTAATAAAATCTATGAGCTCTAATGCACATTTTATATTATAATTCTTTTCTGGGTTTTGCTATATGTATATAACTGATATATAAATACATATATACAAACATACATACATTACGTTTTTTATTTACAGTTTTAATTTATATTGTGTATTTGTGTGGGCATGCATATGACAGGTTGGAGTCAGATGACTACTTTGTGTGTTTTTTTTGCCTTTCAACTTTGCATGGGTTCCAAGGATTGAACTCCTGTCACTAGGTAGCAAATGTCTTTACCTATTGAGTCATTTGTTAGCCAAAGACAACATGTACATTTTAGGAACTTTCTTTCCCCCTCCTAGTAATTTTAATTTTCAGTCTCTGAAATTTTCATGGTGATTTAGTCATTCTTTTAACATCACCTCTTACCTACTTGTTAGCTTTTATCAACTTCTTAACACTTTTAATCTATGCCTGTCTGTGTGTATTTATATCCTTTTTCAGGTTTATGAAATACAAATGTAGCTACTTCAGGCCTAACTTGATGTAATTCTAAATAGCAAGACTAACATGAGCATTACTTTTTATCTTTGTTTTGTACCTAATTTTATATATAGTCAGAGTTACTTCATGTCTGCAAATATAGTCATGTTTTTATTCACTATACAGTTATAGTTAAAGCAAACTAATTTGAAATTATGTTTATACAAATAACTGATTTAAAGTTTTAACAATGTTTTAGATTATGCCTATTAAATCTGGAAGAAAAAGAACTTTCATATACAATAGTTGCTATGATGATTATTTATGTAGTTAATTCTTTCTGGAAACTTAAGTAATTAATTGTGCCACTGTTTCTTCTGGTGGTCATATTTTATTTGTACACTCTTAGTGGTTACTGCTCTTCTGGTCAGCTTGTAAAATTATGAGCTACAAGAACTGATGAGATGACTTGTCATTTATCATCCTGATGATGAGAGATTATGCTGGCTGTTTAAAGTTAAGAGAAATACTGACATCATTGGTACTGTGCCTTCTTCCAAAGTAGACTTATGGAGACTCATAAAAATACATAAATAACCAAATGAAGCCAAAGTTAAGTAAGGAAATTTGGAAAGGGAAATATAGATTGGAGCAGTATGAAAGAAATGATGAAGCAGGGTGATACCCCTCCCATGCACTTTCTATAAGTGAATCACAAACTTGACTGTTCCAAAAATTAATTTAATGTACTTAATGTAATTCATACTATTATTTTAGGATTTCACTCTATACTAAGAGTAAAAGGTAAGCGATGCTATGTGCTATAGTGGAAATAGTACAAAATTGCTTCACAACAGCAGCCCAGCAGTATAAAGTACCCTACAAAGCTCTCTTTCTCCTTTCCTTCCTTGTCTTTAAGCCAGTGGCATAAAACTTGTGCTCAATAAAGATTTTTTTTTTTACATTAATTTATTTTTTACATCCCAATCCCAGTTCCCCCTCTCTCCTCTCCCTCTCCTCCTGCTTCTCCAACCCCCCTTACCCCCACATCTGCTCCTTAGAGAGGGTGAGGCCTCCCCTAGGAAGTCTACTAAGTGTCCCATCCTCTGGTTGAGGCAGGACCAAGGCACCTCTCCACCCCCCACACTCCTGTGTCTAGGCTGAGCAAGGTATCTCTCCATATAGAATGGGCTCCACTAAGTCAGTTTGGCCTCATATTTTATCCCAGTCACACTATTGTTACTTATATTAGGGGAGTCTAGTTTGTTTGGTCTTATGCAGTTTCCCCATTTGTCAGGCCCTAGTCATCGATCTCTCACTAGCTCTGGTCAGCTGATTCTGGGCCTTTCCCCATCATGGTCTTGACCTCTTTGTTCATATTATCTCTCCCCCCTTCCCTTCAGTTGTGCTCCAGGAGCTTGGACCATTGGTTAGTTGTGGATTTCTGCCTCTGTTTCCATCTGTTTCTGGAAGAGGGTTCTAGCTGCTCCAGGTTTGTGGATTGTAGGCTGGGTGTCTTTAGTCTGGTATCTACTTATGAGTGAGTACATACTATATTTGTCTTTCTGGGACTGGCTTACCTCACTTAGGATGTTTTTTTCTATTTCTGTCCATTTGCCTGGGAATTTTACCATTATTATTTCTTACCGCTGAGTAGTTCTCCATTGTGTAAATGCACCACATTTTCTTTATCCATTCTTCAGTTTAGGAGCATCTAGGCTGTTTCCAAGATCTGGCTAATGAATAATGTTGCTGTGAACATAGTTGAGCAAATGTCCTTGTGGTGTGAGTGTGCCTCCTTTGGGTAGGTGCCCAACAGTGGTGTTGCAGGGTCTTGAGGTAGGTTGATCCCTAATTTTCTGAGAAATCACCATACTGATTTCCACAGCGGCTGTACTTCACTAGCAATGGCGGAGTGTTCCCACTTTCCACATCCTCTCCAGGTCATTGGTGTTTTTGATCTTAGCCATTCTGATCAGTGTAAGGTGGAATCTCAGAGTGGTTTGATTTGCATTTCCCTGATGACTAAGGATGTTGAGCATTTCCTTAAGTGTCTCTCTGCCAATTGAGATTGTTCTGTTGAGAATTCTCTGTTTACATCTGTACCCCATTTTTTTAATTGGATTTTTTGGTAGTTTGAATTCTAGTTCCTTGAGTTCTTTGTATATTTTGGAGATCAGTCCCCTGTCAGATGTGGGGTTGGTGAAGGTCTTTTCCCATTCTGTAGAGAGCCCTTTTGTCTGGTTGACCATCTTCTTTGCTTTCAGAAGCTTCTCAGTTTCAGGAGGTCCCATTTATTAATTGTTGCTAGTGGTGTTTTATTTAGGAAGTGGTCTTCTGTGCCTATGCGTTCAAATGTATTTCCTACTTTCTCTTCTCTGATGTTCAGTGTGGATGGATTTATATTGAGGTCTTTGATCCATTTCCACTCGAGTTCGGCAGCAGTCTCTTCAATGATATCTAGAGTAGTTAAAGTGATAATTTGAGTATATAGAATTGTGTTGGTGGTAGAAATGTGAGCAATAAATAATTTTAGTATATTTGGGATCATATTTTCTTAATTATATTATTTAAAAATACTAATATTTCAACATGTAATCAAAACAAAATTTCTTTTTTTTTCCTTCTTTTGTGAGTTTGGAATTCCACATGCATTTATACTTTATACTTTATACATTTATATCTCAGTTTGGACTATACCAGACACTCAGCAGCTACTGTGGCAAGTTAAAGTGGTAGATTACCACCCCCCCCCCCCTAGGGTTTTACAGAAACACATTAAAGTTTGTTTCTGGAAAAGTAATGCCAAGGTAAAATGAATATCTGATTGTCAGTTGATTCTCAATTTCTAAAAAATAGAGTGGCAAAAATAGAAGATTCGGTTTTAAAAGTGCTTAGTTTTTATGGGTACATACTAGTACTCCCCTTTTTCTTTCTTTTTCTTTCTGTTTTTGGTTATTCAAGACAGGATTTTCTGTGTAGCTTTGGAGCATATTCTGGCACTTGCTGGCCTGGAACTCAGAGGTCTGCCTGCCTCTACATCCCTCGTGCTAGTATTAAAGGCATGTTCCTCCACTGCCTGTCTGCCCTCCCTTCCTTCCTCCCTCCCTCTCTCCTCCCTTCTTCCCTTCCTCCCTCCCTCCCCCCTTCTCCCTCTCTCAAAGAGTTTTTTTATTGTTGTTTAAAGAGCTAACCGCATTAGCCCCCTTTGTCCATCGTGGTGGATGCTTGGAGAAGGACCACCATTTCTTAATATTAAGAAAAATAACATTCTCTATTAAATGAAACTATTGCTACACTTTTATTTTTAATCACTTATTGCTATGCTTCTATTTTTAAATTAATCACTTATATTATTTTTGGCATTTCGAGTCATGGTTTCTCTGTGTTACAGCTACATAGTTAGGGCAGAGTCCACTTGAACTACATAAGACACTTCCAAATAATTAACAGGAATCTCAAAATTTACATAAACACAAATCTCAATACCTCCTTTTTACCTAAAAGAAAAGTTGGAATTTTAATGAATGTTTCTTTGCCCTATATGCTTGAAAGAAAGTTCTGTTAAAACATTAACTACATACCACATAACAGTATAAAGACTTGAAGAATAGGGAGCATATTCTTTTCTACTTTGTAGCCCCAATAACCCAGGCTAAATCAAATCTTATTTAAATGTACTTCTTATTGAAGGCTTACTTTTCAAATCACTCTTAAAAGGCTCTTTCATTGCTGGATATTTAAAATAAGTCATTAGGCTCTGTATGGTGACTCATGTCTTTAATCCCAGCACTCAAAGAGGCAGAGCATAGGCAAGTCTCTGAGTTTGAGACCAAACAGATAAACAAAGTGAGATCCAGGACAGCCAGGGCTAGACAGAGAAACACTGTCTGTGAATCTCTGCTCCCCATTTTGTTTTATTTTATTTTTAAATAGAAAGAATTGGTAGCTGATGAAGTGTACTGGGATAGCAAAATGATATTCAAGTTTCTATTTTTATCCATTCTTTTGAGAAAAAGATGTCTTAGTATTTTTAGAACATCTGGCTGTTGAGCTATGTAAGGCTTGATAATTAAGGGTTGAGGTTTTTGTTGATGCAATTTTTTTGAATATCACCTTTCTGGATTTTTGAGAGAGGGTTTCTCTGTATAGTCCTGGCTGTACTGGAACTAGCTCTGTGGACCAGGCTGGCCTGGAACACACAGAGAAACACTTGTCTCCGCCTCCCCCCAACCTCCAAGTGCTGGGATCAAAGGTATGCACCACTCACTGCCCAGCTTGAATATCAGCATTTTATTAACATTAAAGGAATTTATACAACCGCAGGGGTAAATGCTATAGGGAACCCAAGGAGAAATTGAGGAGTTGCCACAGAAAGGGAAATATACAGGAGAGAGTGATTAACTGTAAATTTTGCTAAATGTCAATAAGGTACATTCTAGAAAGTAACTTGAATTTCATGTGGTTATTGGTAGCCTTATTAAAGACTGTAAATAAAAAAACTTTTAAGTCTGTATTATAGACACTGTTATGGTTTACAAACCTATTTACTATATAGCCATTGGCAGGACAATGTTCTTGAGTTCTGATGTAAGTAAAGGGAATAGATTGCTGTTCAGTTTCAAGATGCTTGACCTGCAAAGAAGGCAGAAAGTATTTTTTAACCAGAGCAGATTAGTTTGGATTGAACAAAGAGAAAACATTGTTCTGTTAAATTTGTTAGAGAGACATACTTTCATTATTAGTAGTGGTGTGTTTTTAGAATATCTTGTTTCTCTTTCTGCATTGTAACATGCATAGGTTTTATTGTATATTGGGCAAAGCATAATTTATTCTTTTATTTATTTATTTTTTGTTTTAAATAGTAAATAAACTTTTAGCACTCTTTTAATCCATTTTTAGGTGTGGACGGTGTCTATAAGTATATTGATTTTAGTGCTTTTGTAATTAGAAATCAATATAGTTCTGTATATAATTGGTCTATGAATTGCATTCATATGAGAATATATACCTTCCATCAGTAATGTTCTCTATTAAGGCATTTTTTAGTATTTAGAAAACCCCTAGGTTGACTGGAGTATTTTCTTTTTGATAAAGAAAGATATTAATTGATGTTATCATCCTATTTTTTATTATTTGATTTTAATTTTCAAGTATTTAATGTGAATTAAATATTGTTTCCCCAGCAGTCCCACATCCCCTTGTTTCTTTCTAATACATGTACTGAATGTCAACAAATGCCCAGCATTGCTATTGATATTAAAAGAATAAAATTAAATAAGAACTGCTTTGGGGGTGAGGGGAGGGAGAGGGAGAAGGGACTTACATGTGAAACAAGCTTGTTCCCTAACTAGAACTAAATAAATTATAAATAAATAAAAAAAAAACTGCTTATGGTGTCCAGTAAATTTAGGCGGAATTACTTGCAAAATAACATGATTTAATTTCGTATGCTTAAATTTAAATTAAATATAATAAAATGTTTTAAGTGAAACCTTATTCTGACTTGGAATATGTGGATGATTTCAAATGTCTGAGAGATTTCCATGTAAAATTCCCTTCCAGTGATTTTTAAACTGTTAAATTAGAAAAGTATTAAATCATAACAACAATTTTGTTATTTTGCTGTTAATTATAGCAAAGGAAGATGCAAACTGTGCAGTGTGTGACAGCCCGGGAGACCTCTTAGATCAGTTCTTTTGCACTACTTGTGGTCAGCACTACCATGGGATGTGCCTGGATATAGCTGTTACACCATTAAAACGTGCGGGTTGGCAGTGTCCTGAGTGCAAAGTGTGCCAGAACTGCAAGTAAGTTTTTAATTTCAACTCAAGAGTTCGTATTGAGTTTTAGTGAAACATTGTTAAATATTAAAGTTTATGAGATGGGATAAATTTATTTATATTATAAGTTGTAGTCACATTAATTTCACCATGTTCCTCCACTGCTAGACTTGTGCTAACACTTGTGTTTTTTTGAAATACATATAAACAAAACTCACCATTGCTTAAATTTGTTAAATGATATTTTAAAAATAAAGGTAAGAAAAACAAAAATATTGAGAGGAAGATATTTAATTGGATAATGAAGCTGTCGGTGCAGAAATAATTACAAGATTTGATTGTTCAAATCAGTGTTATAATTGAATTTTGTCTTAAGATGGACAAATACTACATTCTACTGCTTTGATAAAATCTTGATGTTCATTGAAAGACAATTACTTATAGTTAGAATAGTTAAAAAAAAAAGAGAGTGGAATCTAAGCATTTAGAGCTATCATTTTTTTTTTTAAATGTGTTATATTCAGTCCTTGGGTCATTTCTCCAATGAGAAATGGGTGTACTGTGGCATCTTTAAAGTGATACCCACATCTTCATTGATGCACAAACTATTGCAAACAGAGCACTTTTGTAACCAGTAGAAAGTTAGGCCTAGTTTGGTCAGGGTAAGTCTGACTTACTGGTAATTTCATGAAAATAGTCAGAATCAGTGTCTTGGAATGGTGAAGTCAATCAAATCATTTGCTTTCATATTTTGCTAAAATTTAGGAAGAATATTATTAACATTTATTTGTTAATTTGTATGTGTGCTTAGTTTCTTGAGAAGGGGTGTAAGAACTTAGAGAGATATATGGCCCCAGGTATATCCATGTATTTGAAGATATTAAAGATTAAACTTCATAGACTTTGTTAAATTGACTAACAGCCAGAGGCCTTGATGACACATCTTTTTGCTTGTTTGCTTATCCCTAGGTTTCATTCATTAATGCCCCCTTTCCCGATGCATCTGAAATTCTTGTTATCTGAGAATCAGTAATGACTTGCTAAGTAAGCATCAAGACAGATTAAAGGGACACAGTTTTGGTGTAAGGGTGTTTAGAGAAAGACTTTCATTGTAATTCATAATTACAACCTGATTATTTTCTCTTTTTAGAATTTCATATATTAGTGGGCAGCATGTGCAGATCTCTCTCTCTCTCTCTCTCTCTCTCTCTCTCTCTCTGTGTGTGTGTGTGTGTGTGTGTGTGTGTGTGTGTGTGTGTGTGTGTGTGTGTGTGTGTGTGTGTGTGTGTGTGTGTTGATGAGAGGACATGCCTATGGTGTTGGTTGGTTTTGTCACTTTACCTTTATGTGGGCTCCTGAGATTGGGCTCAGGTGGTCAGACTTTACAGCAAGTGCCTTAACATCCTGAGTCATCTTGCCAGTCCTTCCTTCCTT